AACAGTTCACTCTATTCAATAAAATGACTAAACATGAACCTGTACTGTAGATATTTTATCAAATCTAAATAATGCATACAAGGTAAAATGGATAATCAGTAGATGCTCTGAAGCAATCTGGACACTTAATGTCTACACATATATTTAGCTAGGCATGGTAGGATGATGTCCAACTACCAACATACATTGTGACATTAGTATATACCTTTCCACCTAATGCCAGTGTGATGTATCCTGATCAATATCACACCGTGCTCGTTCATTTAGGTGAGAGGAGAACTGGTCCCCTGACTGTGTCTGGCTTCTTCCAATGTTTTATGTTGCCCTCCATTTCTGCCAGCGTTATCTTTGGCGTGCTTAGTTGGAATCTAAAAGACGCTTAATATTCAGTAATATCATCAATTTGACGGCACTGACACTATTGGATGTGAACAAAACTTTAAATGAATTGAGCTAAATAATGACTCTATTGTCTTCTGTAGAGCTGCTTTATAGCTGAAATGAATTCATTTATAATTAATGAATTTTGCAACATCGAACATGCAACATTGAACATGTTACTGAACGTCTCCAGGTTACGAATGGAACCATGGTTCCCCGAGGGAACGAGACGTTGCGTCAGAAAATGCTTTGGGAACACCTCCAACGTGACCATGCTCTGAATCACATATGAAATCAGTCCAATAGATGGGCGAGACGTCATGGGCGGGTGACGTTGCGACCAGGAAGCTATAAAAGCACGTATGGTGGAACCGGCGTCAGCTTCTAGGAATGAAGCAAGCGCTCACAGGGATGCCGAAAGTATGGCACTGAGATGCAGCGTCTCGTTCCCTTGGGGAACCATGGTTACATTCGTAACCTGGAGACGTTCCCCTTCAGGAACTCGAGCTGCGTCAGAAAACACTTTGGGAACGAGTATGCCAACGCGGCCAGACTTACAAATCCCTGCTTAGTGTGGAAGAGCACAGCTAAGGCTAGAGAAAGGAGCCAGGAGTGGCGCAGAATGCAGGTAGGCACCTGACAAAGTGGGCGGGGACATCCCGCAGCGTCCCGAAGGCCAACTTCAGAAGGAGTGAGCCTTGACCCCTAAGGGAGAGGGGAGATCAGAGGACTCGAGGCTATGAAAAAGCATCCTGATCCACCGCTTAGCATAAGCTTCTCTGGCCAGAGGCCTCAGCCTCAGCGCACCGTGGAGGAAACGTGTAACTAGGGGGAGTCGCAGACCTCCCTGGTGGTTGATTTAAGAGACCGCCGCTGTGTCGTCGGTGCACCAACACATGGCGACCTCTTAGGTCTGGGAAAAAGTGTTTCAATGCTAGAAACACGGCCAGGATCTCCAGGCAATTGAAGTGCCATGTGAGATGGCGGCCGCTCCACAGACCGCGGGCTGAGCAGCCACTCATGACCGCTCCTCAACCGGTGAGGGACGCGTCCGTCTTGGCGCAGCGGCATCAAGGAGCTCCCAGCACCGGGCCCTGAGACAATAACCAAGGTTACTCCACATGTCTAAGGCACGTAGGTTTCGTCGCTTGACCTTGAGCATGCGAAGCGGGTTTCCCCTTGGGGAGAACCCTTTGGTCTTGAGCCACCACTGTAGTGGTCTCATGTACAGCAGGCCAAAAGGTCTCCCGTTGGACACAGTTGCCATCAGACCCAGCAGTTTCTGGAACGGCTGACAGTGAGTGACCGGCCTTCTCTCACTCTCGCGACTGCAGTGAGGATCGATTTGAACCAAGCAGGAGACAGAAGTGCCTGCATCGTGGTCGAATCCCACACCACGTCCAGATAAGTGGTTCTCTGTACTGGAGAAAGCACACTTTTCTTGGCGTTAAGTCTGTCACAGAGGAGCCAGAGCAGCATCCACACACTTCGTGAAAGTGCGGGGTGAGAGTGCAAGGCCGAACGGAAGAATCCGGTAAGCTTTTGCCCCCAAAAGCAAACCTCAGGAACTTCCATCCTTCTTTGGAACGATGAAGTACCGGCTGTAGAACCCAGACTGTCTGTTGAGAGAAGCGACCACCTCGATGGCCTCCTTCATCAAGAGAGTGTTAACTTCTTGTTCCATTACCAGAGCCTGCTCGGGGCCCACCAGAGTGGGAATGACCCCGTTCAAACGAGGCGGAGAAGAACCAAACTGATTTGGTAGCCTCTTTCTACAGTGTGCAGGACCCATTGAGACACATTTGGCAGAAGTTTCCACGCTGCCAAAAAGGTCTACTAAGGGAATCAGTCTCTCGAGACTGATCTCTGGTGTAATCAGCGCGGCTAGATCGTTGCCCTGAAGCGGCGAACCGGCAGGGGACGGCCGAACTAGCTGCTCTAGAAACCTCCCAAGAGGTAGCGAGCCTCTTACTGCTACGTTTCCGGGCGGTGATTGAGAGAAGTGCTCGCCAAAGACCGCTGCGCCCTGATGCACCGTAGGTGGCAGGATTGGCAGATCGATCTCCTGAGAGCACTGAGGAGAGACGGGCACCATATAATGAGGTGTACACCACTCTTCCCCAGAGGGGGCCGGCCCTCAGAAGTCCTGGGCCCTAGGCGTCAGGACATTTTAGCTGAAGACTATCCAGTGGGAATGACGGTCCGCAGATCCACCTTCCGCTAGAAGTCTTCGGCCTGGGAGCGCCACTCTGACTCTAAATTCTGAGGAGTACGAGAAGTGACGCTCCCTATATGAGGAGCTGGAACACGGTTGGTTGGGGCTGCTCCTGCCTAGCAGCCCCTAATGACGACCTATTTATTTAATTATTTCCAAGAGCTCCTGTATATCTAACTTCTCATAGTCAAAATAAATACTTCATTTTAATTCCTCAGAATAAAATGCAGCCAACAACCCAGACAAGTAAACACGGTCTGGTGTGATAAGATTCATATCAAAACCGAGCGGAGCGTTTAACAGTGTAACTGATGCTTGTGCAACTGGCGAGCAAATCGACGCCCTCCATATCAACCTCCTCGGAGGAAGACAGGCGGAGCATCGAGCCCTCTCACCGGGGGGAATGAACCGCAGTGTGGGCTTCCGAACCCCAAGAGTGGGCACTGGATCTGGTGGGTGAGGAAGAAGATAGGGACTCGCCCGTCTACATTCCCTCCACC